TGTGGGATGGGGGTTCCCGTGGGTCACTGAGCTGGGGTCAGGGGTTGGCTGGGAAGCTGGGATGGGGATAGGGGAAGAGCGGTGGGCGTGGGGAAGCCCGTCCCGAGGTGCAGCAGCATCTCTCTCCTCTAATGCCCGCTTCCTGCCGTAGGGGGCTGCCAAGATGCTGCTGGACTCGGAGCAGCATCCAGGCCAGCTCAAAGACAACGTCTGCTCCCCCGGGGGGGCCACCATCCACGCCCTGCACTTCCTAGAGAGTGGAGGCTTCCGCTCCCTGCTCATCAACGCGGTGGAGGCCTCCTGCGTCCGCACACGGTGGGTGGCTCTCCTCCTCCGCGCCGGCCCTCCACTCCCAGGCGGCCGCTGGTGTGGGCCGGGCGCCGGCCTCCACAACCTGCCGTCTTTGGTCCCGTTAGCAGTGTTGGAGTCTGTGCTCTGTTAATAACCACGATTAATTAGACTTCAGCTAAGTGTTTACAGGCCCTACTTCATCTAATTCTTGCCGCAGTTCTGACAGCTGGGATAAGCTTTGATGTATAGATGAGGAGGTTGAGGGTCACAGAGAGGATTTTCCCAAGGTCAAGCAGGTCGGAAGTGATGGAGGCAGGATTTGACTTCAAGTCCATGGCTCCAGACTCTGTGATTTTCCACTCTCTCTCTCCCCATATGATCACAGGTACCACTTGGAGCTCTACATCTGTGTAGTAACCCATCCGTGTTCTGAGAAGCTTGGGGATTACTTGGTCGGGGGTTCTGATTTTTGGTGGTGTCAAGTCAACAAGGGTTGGGCTTCTGTGGACGGGAAGCCTCGTGAAATTCTGACTGCGAGGTTGATTGCCTTCCTCCTTCAACCCCTCTGGGGCTTTGTCTGCAGAGAGCTGCAGTCCATGGCTGACCAGGAAAAGATCTCCCCAGCCGCCCTCAAGAAGACCCTCCTGGACAGAGTGAAGCTGGAGTCCCCCACAGTGTCCACGCTGACCCCCTCCGGCTCAGGGACGCTCCTCACAAGAAACCCGGCCCCGGGAGGCAAGAAGGACTAAGGCAGCCTCTGCCCTCGTCTGTGACCAGAGCCCTTGACTGAGGAACCGTGCAGGGAGAGGGCAGGCTCTGATTTTCAGTTTTCAGATCCTTGTTGTAAAATCTCCTTAAATCTGTTCAGACCAGGCAGCACTAGAGTCCTTCCTGTCCCGTGCTGGAAGACGCTCTGAAGGGGTGGTCGATGCTGGAAGCCAGGTGCAGCCTGTACGCCTCCCACTGTTGCAGGAGAGAGAGGCTCGGTAGGAAGGTCCCCCAGAGGACCAAGTGGAGCCCAGGCAGGGTCAGCTGATGCCAGGTCAGGGAGGTGAGAGGTACAAAACATGACAAGGACTTTTTCCTTTCAGTTGAAAGTAAGCAACTTAGAATTGTCATAATTAATCAGAAATGCACGAAATGAGACTATGCTTATCTTTAAGTCTTGCTTCATAGGTGTACCACTGAAAAAGTGCTCTTCAGTGCTGCCAAGTGTAGCTACTTTAATAAAGTTTTAGTTCTTATTGCCCTGCTTTTCTTAGGCTTAATCGTAAGTCTGGAGAACTCAAGGCCCTTCCTTACCAGGTGGTCCCTGCTTCTGTGGGGAGCACTGTCTAAGGGCACGAAGTAGGGATGAGAGGAACTAAGGGTGCAGGCCCGAGAGCTGTAATGACGCTCTGCTCCAGCCCGGCCCCCAGGATCAGGCTCAGGAGGTTGTGTCCTAGGATGGGCCGACGCTCGTGGCAGAGGAGAGCCAAGTGGCCTGGGTGGGGGGAGGCAGGAGCCCAGACACGGGAGGAAGCTGCCTGCTTTGTGGGCCCAGGCACCTGGCTAAGCGTTGGCTCCTCCAGCCGCCCCCTGAGGGAGGAGCTGTTCTCTTCCTCACGTTCTAGAAGATGCTGAGGCCTAGACGGGGTAAGCTGTGACCCCAGGTGAGCTGTGGTCAGTGGTGGGGCCGTCCCTGTTCTTAGCCACTGGCTCTGCTGCCTCCCAGAAGCCAAGGCTGGGTGTGCCGTCCACACGGCTGCACTGGGCCTGCGGTTTCCGCGTGGGGGCCGCTGAGCCCGGCGCTTCTCCCCTGGAGCTCGCTGCCTGTGGCATTGGCATCAGCGTCAGCGCTGAGTTCAAATCTCAGTTTCTACCACTTTCAACTCAGCGACCTTGGAGAACTTACTAGATGTCTCTGACCTCAAGGTTTCATCCCCATCCATAAATGTGGAGGTCATGCTTCCTCAAAATGTGCTGGTGGGTATGACGCGGGACCTTGTGGAATTGCTCAACAGAACGTAGAACGTGGTGGAACCACCCTCCTGCAAGTGCTGCTCGTCCTTCACCCTCCTGCAGCCCTGGCTCCAACTCCAACCCTGAGGGCCCGTGGGGAAGGCTCTTCCCATGGGGCCAAAGTGACAAGTTCCACAATACCAAGAGCTGTCATTTTTAAGCCCCATTATATGGTAAGCCCTTTGCAAACTCTTTACATAAAATCTCATGGCCTGAGGAGCTGGGTATAATTAAGAGTAAGGGGAACCTCAGAGAGGCTGAAGAAGTTGCGCTCAAGTAGACGTTTCACGAAAGGAGATACACAAATGGCAAATGAGGGCCGGCCCCGTGGCTTAGTGATTAAGTGCGCGCGCTCTGCTACTGCCGGCCCGAGTTTGGATCCCGGGTGTGCACTGGATCCTGGGTGCGCACCCATGCATCGCTTAGTCAGGCCATGCTGTGGCTGGCGTCCCACATAAAGTAGAGGAAGATGGGCACGGATGTTACCCCAGGGCCAGTCTTCCTCAGCAAAAAGGAGAATTGGCATGGACGTTAGCTCAGGGCTGATCTTCCTCACACACACACACAAAAAAACAGCCTGGTAGTTCCTCAAAAGGTTAAACATAGAGTTACCATATGACCCAGCAGTTCCACTCCTAGATAGCTGCCTAAGAGAAATAAACACATGTCCACACAAATCCCGCATGTGAACGTTCATGGCAGCATATTCATAATACTCAAGAAGTGGAAACAACCCCAGTGTCCATCTACTGGTGAATGGGTAAACAAAATGTGTCACACCCACGTGATGGGATATCATCCAGCAATGCAAAGGAAGTACCAACACCTACAACGTGATGAACCTCAAAAAATAGAAGTGAAAGAAGCCAGTCGCAAAAGACCACAAATTATATGAATGCATTTGTATGAAATGTCCAGAAAATGCGAATCGACAGAGACAGAGACAGTGGTTGCCTGGGGCTGGGGTGGGAGTGGGAAGAGCGCGAGGTTTCTGTTTAGAGTGGTAGAAATGGTTTAAAATAAGGTTGGGGTTATGGTTGCACAACTGTACATACAGTCGTTGAATTGTACACTTAAAGTGGGTGGATTTTATGGTGTGTAAATTACAGTTCATAAAGCTTTTAAAAAAACAGAAATAAGTTGCCCACCTTTCCATTAGCCAGTAGTACCAGGAGTCAAGTCCATATCCGATACCCAATCTGTCCTCTCTGCTCTAGGCTGGCTGGTGAGCTGTTGGCGAGCTGTCCCAGGTGACGGGAGACTGTCCCCTCCTCTCTCCCCCGCCGCTTCCCAGGCCCAAATCCACCAACACATTGACTGAGGACTTACCACCTGCCTGGCCCGGGTTTATGTCTTCGTGTGTGGGGTCCACCTGGCTCAGGTGAGCTCCCCCTTGCCCAGGACCCCTGTCCTTCCCTTCTGAGCTTCGACAGTGCGGTCAGGGCCAGACTTGCCCGGAGGTGGCTGCGCCTCCAGTCCCCAGGGAGAGGGAGAGTAGGGTCATCCCCTGGAAGACAGTTCTGGCCATCTCTCCCCAGGCCGGCCCCTCCCAGCTGCCCACCTTCTCCCAGGGTGGCCCCGCCCCGGACCTGGAGCTGTAGGCAGGCAGAACCAGGGGCTAGCCACTCCCTGAGGTGGGCAGGGGCCCCCCCCAGTGCGTCAGGCCCTGGACGGAGGTCCCGGAGCTCGTGTCCTGAGCCACAGGAAGGCACGCGAATGCCCCCTGCAAGCCTTTCAGCAGTAAGAGCCGGCGTGCAGGTCAGCGCAGCCTTTCCCACAGGTAGGCGCTGAGCCCTCTGTGCTGAGCGTCCGCGAGGCCTGGGTGTGCCCCCGTCGGTAAGACTCCTCGTCCTGAGTTGCACGAGGGCCGAGCACAGACGTGGACACAGAGGAGATGTGGAAATGGGGAGGCAGAGAAAAAGGCAGCAGGGAGGGGTGAGAGAGGAAGGACGGGTGCTAACCACCCCCCGCCCCGTCCTGGCTCCCTCCCTCCTCTGCCCTCGGGACCCCGGGGCAGCCGGCCTAGAGCAGCCCTCCAGCCCCGTCCCATAACTGGATCCCCCAGGACCCCAGAAAACACTTCGTTATCCTCACTTTGCTCTGCTATAAAATGGGGGCAAACCCCCTGCCCCCACTGTTCACGATAGTTACTTTGGGAAGTGGATGGAGGTCGACTTCTCACTTGATTTCTTTCTTGTTTCTTTTCCTTACATGGCTGATGGCCATAAGCAGGCGTGGTCTCCGTAGTTAAAAGATCAGAAAATGTTTCCCTGCTCCCACTGGCAGGCCGAGCGGGAACACAAACACGACCTGAGTCCTCGTGTCCCTGTGTGACTGTTACTAAGCAACGCTCTCGTTAGGGACACCGGAGAGGCTGACTGCGCTCCCCTCACTGCACCAGGCGGTGTAGACAGGCCTTTCTGCGCATAGAATCAAAATGCCTTAAAGCCTTGACCTGTGCTTCACTTTTAGCAACAAACCAGAACACAGGCAGAAACGGATATGGTGACTGCGTGAACTCAGTGCATTTTGAAAATGAAATGCACCTCTTTTCAAGGTCATAGCCAGAGTGGATAGGATACTACTTTTATGTAAGAAAGGAGGAAAATAGGAAATTGGATAAAGAAACTCTAGGATACACAAGAAACCAAGAAAAGGGGTACGTGTGGGAGGGGACGGGGTGGGAGGGATGTGGTAGATGGGGCAGGGGTGAGACATTTCATTATAAACCTTTTCCCACTGTATTGATTAGGAGTCACATGAAGGTGTAACCCACTCACAAAATACCTTTTGGAAACCCTCGGGAGCTGCCGGCTGCCCTGGCCAGCCGGGCTCTACAGGACATGTCGCCCCAGGTGGGCAGTCAGGGCTGCTCTCGATCTGTGTCCAGGAATACCTGAGCATGAGAATGTCTTCCTTGGCAAAGGCAGGCAGACAGGTCCCCCGTGCCCCAGTCTCTTCTCTCCCCCTCGCCCCCCTCTGCCTCTAGCCTCCAAGATGGGCTGGAGCCCGGCTCTGGGCACCTGGGCCTCCTCCCCACTGATATCTGTCACGTTGTGTGGTAATCATCTCCTGCCTGTCTCCCCCACCAGAGTGGGTGCTCCCGGGGAAACAGGCTGGGTCATACACCATTCCTCCGGTCCTAGTGCACGACAGGCAATAAACATAGCTAAATGGATGGATGAATGAATGAATGACAACTCTTCTGCTAAAATGTCAGGTTGGGCTGTTCCTTGCTGTGCCGAAGGAGGCCTCTGATTTACTGGGGTGGAAGCCCTGGGCAGCTCCCAGCCTGTCTTTGGATCTGGTAATCCACTGTTGGTTAGGTTCCGACTTTCTCTTATTCAACCAACAAGTGTTTATTGAGCGCTTCTGAACTGCTGTGCTTCTGCTCGGTTGGCTGGGATGTGGGGAACACTTGGCTGATTTCCATCCTGGCCCCTCTGTCTCGGGCACCTCTATTAGTGCGCCCTGTCCCACCCCCAGGGATGCCCGAAACCTTCTTCAGCGTGTGGACACCCAGCGGCGTCTGCCATTTCATAGGTTGGGATGGAAACCAATTTCATAACAGTTTTCAATTTTAGGAGGGATTACATGGATAAATATTCTCTCTTCCTTAAAAATAAAGACCACCGAAAAGGCACTCGGGGGGCTGGGGCAGCAACATGAGGAGTTTGGTGGGAACTCAGAGACTTTCCTATCGATCGAGGTCCTTCAACAGCGGGTGACCTGGACAGGCTGAGAAATCTCTGCCTCTGGGATGAAAAACAACTGATGAGTCATCTTTGGGGGGTGTGTGTGCACCTCTCAGTTACTGGTCCACCCTGAATTCTAAGATATGTGAATAGTAATTAGCTGAGTTAGTAAATTTCTGGTACCAGAGCAAAGGAGTGGGTTCTCATCTTCACTGGCCAGGTGACCTCAGGCAAGTCATTAGTCGGTTTCAGTTTCAATTTATTATTATTTCATTAAAATGGAAA